AATTTCGAGTGTCAGAAACAAATTTTGGAATTTTTACTTTTTCCTCAAATTTGTTTATTTTAAAAATCATTATTTATTGCTATTTTTCTTCCTTTGAAATTACTGCTATACCAGACCGTTTACATATTTCAAAACCTGCAAAACAATTTTTGGATCATATTCAAACAGTTCTCTTTAGCAATATATACATATTTTTTCTCAAAGATTATAAAATACAGTAAATCAACCAGAAAGATATATTTTTCTACGATATGCACGTTTCATTCATAGCTAGATTACTTTCTCCGCGATCTATTAGTTATTTTTTTCTATCGATTATCAGGATCCAAACTATTGAGTCTGAAAGTTCGACGGACAGAAATGGCAAAGACGGCGATTCGGTAGGTCGGCGTCGATAGCTTCTTCCCGCTGAAGCTAACCCTAATATATTGGATCGAGTTTACAGGGGGATGGAGTCACGTTGCGCGGGATAGAGCGGGTGGAGATCTGCGAAGGTAGGGGTCGGTAGAGGGTTGGTAGAGGGGAAGGAAGAAAGGTTACGGGTCATAAACCATCCTCAGTCGCTGAAATCGTTCTATATGCGAGTTCGTACATGTATGCGAGTGTACGTGCACGCGCGTCCATCTACTTCCGTATCCGTGCGGTAGCACGTGTGATTCTCGCGCAGTACGAAGCAGAAGTTGTTTACTGCCTTCTGCGAACTTTTAAAGTAACGTAATCCAAGTGCGCGTTATACGGCATCGATCGATTCAATCGTAGAGTCGATGTGACGTTTATTAATCTTATGAGATATCGATTTTGCGTGATAGAATGTATTTGACACTGGCGGAGAAACTGCGCGAGGGATGCACTGTGCGGTATTTGAAATGAGAGCATAAAATGAATATCTTTGCGAATAAATTTCTGCGAAAAGAAAGTCGAATATTCTTGTATAAAATTGGTCTCAATAAACTTATTTTGTCATCAATGTACGTGTAGAACAGTGAGAATTAAGTAACCATTTTTATATTTTATGCACCTTTGTGCATATTTTTAAAAGGATATTAAATGTAAAATATCTGTACATCGCTATTATTAATCGAGATAATTTGTACCTAACGGTTTTAGGATGTCTATGACTTGTGGAAATACATTGCTGACAATTTCGGTTGAGAACCACGACGGGTGTGTAATATGAAGATAAGATGTCCCCCATGTTCCCATGTGCCAGGCTTCTCGATCGGGGATTATGTTGCCATCTACGTTGACCCCACCCCCTCGAACGAAAACATCCCGTCGTAGTGCGCCGACCAAGTCCAACCCCATTACCTTTCGCACTCTTACGTTCGTCATTTCTCGTGAATCCTCGTTTCTTATTCGTCGTAAACTCATCCGAGGGAAATGGGCAAGCATTCGTTTCTACTTCTCGAGATCACTTGCATTTTCCGCGCGAATTACCGAGATTACGTCGTAACGTAATTTCAAAGACGACGAGTATTCTTATCTCCCTTCTGAAATTACTTGCTTGGCCAAATATGGCGCCTCCCCTTCGGAGAAGAGAACTGTCGAATTTATATATTTATGTAATTTTCGGGAAATGATGCGCAAGAAGCACACTCATGATTTTTTTAAAGCAGCGCGTTTTACTTTCTTATGGTGTACTTACGATCGTGCGCCTCCCCGAATCCTATGTTATTTTACAGGGGTGGCTAAAGTACATTTTTATGAATCCACCAGGAGTGTATACATTTCGCAGTTGGTGCGTTAGATTCTGCGGGAAAATTCTGTTTTTCGATCATCTTTTTTTGTAGCTATGTTTGACTAATCTCGAAATATCTATTTTTTTGTTGTTTTGACAACGGCTAACATTTATATTCAATTAATATTTGGTATTACAATAATATTCCGCTTATAGGAAAGAGAGAGAGAAAGAAATATTCAGAATATTGGTAAAAGAATCATAGAAGAAAGCTACTAATTTAGCTTCAATCAAGATAGCCCATTTTACTAAAAGAACATTATTGTTAAATTATTAATTAAGTTTGAAGAAAGAAAGCTGAAGAGTTATTCTAGGCGAAAAGGTTATTTCTTTTCCTAAATATAAAATACCGCATATATCTGCGACGTATATTCATGCTACATATACATATAATAAAAAAATATCGCAAGTACATACTTAAAATGATTACGACTAGCGCCCCCAAGACCCTGTTCGTTTACACGAAATATTTCCTCGATTTTCCAGGGAAACACTCTTATTCCTTTTCATCCCTGACATAAGAAATCGTCAGCATTCCGAATGGTAAGTCCGGTGTCAGCCTAATGTATGTCCTGCATGGTGAGGGTGGGTGCTTGATTCATTTCACCCTCGGGGTTCCCGCCGACGACGGCGCGCAATTCGCCACGCATTTCAGAAGTCTTCCCGCTCAACTCGTGCACGCGAATCAAAAATCCACCCTGCAAGACTTTACACGGGCGTCATAAGCTGACGCACTTAATTTAAAGATCGTTTCAGCGTCGAAAAGTCTCGGGGCCGAGGGTCGTTCCCCTTGATTTTCTCTCTCTCTCTCTTTTCCTTTTTTTGGCCTTTTTCCTGCAGTTCATGCAACTCCGCGGGGGCGGCTTTACAATCCGAGCATTCCGCTTTACAGTTCATTTCGCTTGCGGCGTCGCCCTTTTCCTCTTCATCGAATTATTTCAAACCCGTCGACGGAAACGTTTTTCGATTGCGCCCAGCGTTTCCGAGGCGCCACGCCATCCATCGCGCGATTTTGATTGTATTAGTGACGTTCTGTTTTTCTTCCCCCAACACGCCTGTACTCACTGTTACTCATTTGCATCTACAGATTATTAAAATTGATTGCTTTACTTTGCATATCTTTGGCATAATAATGTAATACAATTAATGCAACATGTGATACAAACATATTGTATCAATCTATATAAAAACCAATACGTTTAATCTAAATATAATCTCATTAAACACAATGTAGTTCCTTTAAACACAGCTCTTACTCGACACTCAATTAACATAGGTATTTTATTGATTCGTCAATTTCGCGACATTTCACGGTTTCGATCGAACTTGGTCGCCGTTGACATAAGTTTCGAGATGCCAGTAACGACGGGGTGAGGATGAGAAAGAGAGAGGGTCGCAGCTGCGTAGGCATGTGGCAAATTGCCGAGCTGCCCGCTGCCTGGAAGGAAACGAAGGTGGAAGCGTCTTCGCGAAGGACGAAGTGGACCAGCAGGAAGGGCGAAGCGGAGGAGAGGACGATGTACATCGCGGCGGTACGAAGGAACGATACGATGCGAGGCGAGATGGAAGGCAGAGGCGGCCGGTAATCTGTGATTCAAAGAGAGCGATCCATCTTGCGACATGCCAGGATTCAATCGGCGGCATTTGTTTGTGAAATCAGTCCCGAAGGACTCTCCCTGTCGCTCCACGTCTCCTCTACGTCTCCCACCTCGTATACGATTCTCCGATTGTCTCCGCGCGGGCACGACAAAACCCGCAGGACCGAAGGACGTGAATGGAAAGCGCCGGATTTGTCTTATCGGAGGACGGAGTGTAGAAGGCGATTATTCTGATTTGTGACTAGTGGAAACGGACAATACAGACAAATTTAGAGGTATACCTTGCAACTACGTCAATTTTGAACTACGTCAAATTGACGACGACGTGCGCGATGTATTGACGATTTGCAATAAATATAGTTAACGCGGCTTAATCTGAAAATAAAAAGCGATATTTCATTTTTTGAAAGCCCACTTTCAAGTAACTTTTCACGAGCATTGCGGATACATTGTTGGATGACGTCACTTGAAACATTTTCATCAACGAGCGGCAAAGGAGCGCCGGCAGGGCGTGCCGCATGATCGACGCCAAGCGCAGGGGGCTAATAAGGCCATATATATTTATTCAGCTAGTCGGGGGTGGATTTTATATCCCTGGACAGGACTGGTGGACGGAAGGAGAGCGAGAGGCGAAGGGAAAACCGTCGTGGAGAGGAGGACGGCGCGGAGCTTAGCATTCGGAAAATACCGAGGATAGATTCGTGCGTCTGATCCGTGCCAGATCCCATAAAATGACCCTAGCACGATCGAGTGCCCGCCATGCCGTGCCCGCACCCCTGTAGTATCGCGCGCGCGAGAGGCTACCCCAGAAAATTATTGCTCTCCTTATACATTCGTTCGTACTGGACCGAGTTGGGGCCGAGTCGAATAAACTTGTGCCCTTTAGACATGGGAAAGTAACGGTAGACGAAGAAGAGAATGACACGTAAAATAGAGAAATAAGTTCAAGGCTAGCAGAGAATAAGAGAAAAGGAGATGTGATTAATTTTGAGGAAACTGTTTAAAAGAAACAAGTTTATATGAATGTACAATAAAAGGACTTAAATATTTGAAAATAGAAAAAAAAAAGATGTTCGATCAAATCATCGTTAAGACTGAATTGATTTAAAATTTGTCAAAATATCCATAAATAGAAGAGATAAACGATGTAAATATAGCGTTAAATATAGCAACGTCGTAAATATAAAGTGCCTCGTATCAGAAAAACTGCGGAACCTTATCATTTCAGTTGCGATTGGGGAAAGATAATGTGGAGCAAGATATGTTACATATCTCGGAGCGTGCACCAAGTTGGGTGCTTGCAACACGCGAGCGTTGAATTATAAATACTGCGCGTTAACTACAATTACCAGAAGAATAGTAACGGAATAACTTAATAAGCGGAATCGTTCGGGTGTATATGCAACAGTGTTAACAGTGTTGCGCCAGGGTACATTACGCCAGGCCCTCGAGGCTGGCTTTCCAATATATTAGCAATTATTATAATATATTACACGCTCACGCGCGCGCTTTTATAATAATTGCCACGGTTAAATCTAACGCCCGCGCTACTATTGTTTGCATCTTAGATGGTTGCAATAAATCTGTTGAGCAACGATGAAGTTTGTCGTGAGTATCAGAGCGTTACCCGGTTGATAACATGCTCCGATAATGGAAAGAACATATGTATATATATTTTATATTTGCACATACATTTTTTTTCTTATACACACGATAATGGGAATGAAGCAACTGGAAGAAATTTTCTTTTACAAATTATTTTTGACATTTCATGCGCATATTAAGTTTACGTATTATTTATTATGTTTTGCCGGAGAGTAGAAAGTAGCACCTCACTACATCATATTATTATTATTATTATTATTATTATTATTTTGTTAAAATTCTACAGCAAAAGCCCGTATAGTAATAAAAAAGTTAATTTTACTAGTGTTTCGCATTTTGTACATTTGCAAGTAAGCATGTCGTCGTAATGCATTACTCGCGTGGCCTACTGACTTCCCACATTACTTATTCCGTTCGGGCTCATTCTGTTGGCCGTAGTGATAATCGAGGAATCTGTAACCTTGCGTGAGTTGGGCCCCGACGTTTGTGATGTGGCATGCGAGCAGCAGCAAATTTCGCGGTTGTACCTTCCAAGCAAATCGCATGAATACCATGGAGTATAGAGTCAAGGCTAACAAATCAGAAAGAAAATTAAATCATATGTAGAATATAGGAAACTGACGCGCAATTAACATGCAAATTAAATGGTATATTTACTGACACGTGATTTATCATTTTATTAGTTTGTTATTTCATTATTATCATGGAATGATTTTACAGCTACGTCTTCTCGTTACGTGAATACGTAAGTACTCTCTGAAATATTAACGAGACTCGGAGGAAAGACTCTTTGGAGTAGCGGCCGCGTTTGAGAGATTAAACGCAATTAAACTTATAACATTTTACTGTAACATTTTACTTGCAGACTGGTTTTGGGTCGGTATGCACCCTCCCCCCTTCCCCCCAGACATTCGCAGCGTGCCGCTCATTAAGAAATAAACGGTTATTTGCTGCGCTCGAGCAGCAATTATTTTATGGGCCCCTCTCGAGCCTCGCCCCCCCACCCCTCCCAACCCTCTGTTAGTCGCGCATCAACTCGCTCTGTCGCGATTATTAAGAGACGGTGAATGAATTCTTCGAAAGGTCTACCGCGGGGTAAAGCCGTAAGCTATATATATATCGAACTCACCTAAAGTCATTTTGCCGCTAATGATTTTCGGATGCTTTCGCGTGTCAGATATGGCCGCTATAGGTATCATCCAGTTGAATACCGGACCCCAGAAGTGCGTGCTTAAAAAAGTAGTTCATTTTCCATAAATTGCGCTTTCGAGCAAATCTAAAATACCGAGTACAATAATCTCAAAAAGAGGGACGAACGTTTCACTATTCAATGGTATACGTAATATTGGAAATTGGAGAATTGCAAAAAAGAATAGTTTTTTAATTGAGAAAATATCGATTTTAATTTTACTTTATACATATACACCTTTTTTTTTTAACAAAAATTCATTTATCTCGTTGAGTGAACATTACCTTAGGAAATAATCTTTGGTTTCTTTACTTAGTAGAGATTTTGAGAGTCGCTTAGACATGATGAAAGAAGTCGGAATACGATATCTACGAGATTTTTAATCGTGTGCCGCAACGAGATTCTATGACGTGCAGCAATCGCGGTTATGTATTTGCTTTGTATGTAACCTAAGCGGCTCCGACACTGACAGTTCCAACTGAAAGGCGTCCAGATCAAGCGACGATAAAGCCGATATCAGGATACATAGTTTACTCCCGTAACTTCTGATTACCACGGCCTCGCTACGCGATTTATCGTCAAGCACGCGATTTGGCTTATTATCTCGGGAATTTCTATAGAAATCATATAATAATATTATATGTATATATATATAATAATATTATAATATAATATTATAATGATGTGTCGATTTGCGCCGCAATTCTCTCTTTGAATTAATGCACTGCCACACTGCTTTAGATTTCTTACAGCAATTAAGTTTTAAAACGCGAACACACTTTTAAAACACTATGACGAACGATAAGCGAAATGACGTTATCGCGATGATAACGAGGAAAGATTATAAATCATTTTTCTGGAACGGAGTAACCGTGATCTAATGACGTGAAAGTAATGCATTTCATACTTTAGTCTCAAGTTTGTAGAAGTTGATTTTTTTTAACTCTAATACACTTTTTTTTATGACAGTTGCCACGCTACGTGCGATCTGTACAGTCGGTTCTATGACTATCGAACGCTAACTGCCGCCTGAATCGTCAGAAAACCGGAATTTCAAGTCGAGATTTCTCGAGTCGCTGTTTACGCTGTTTACGAGCCTCGCCAGATATAGTTTCGTAACAGGCGTGTATTTTCATAGTATAGCCAGTGATCCGCGTATATCAAGGTCGCCTACTTATCATATACTATTTGTTTATGCAATGCAAATGAAGAGTTATTATCATGTATATGTACATAATGGATATTACATGTCAAAATATTTAAATATATGCATAACTATTACATATATACGTCTATTTGTGCGTAAACTTGAATATTCAATCGATTTGTTAAGCTACGTATAAGGTAAGGTAGTACAATTTCAAACATAGTAAAATTCTGTATGACATAAGAATTTAATTTCCGAGATTCAAATTTGATGACTAAACTTTACACAATGAGATTATTTGAATTTCGAAAATTACATTAAAGAATTTTATATCGTACAGAATTATACATACATATTGCTAATGTTTGAGATACCACCTTATCCTATATCGATAAAAACGCAAACTTTTAATATTTCCATAAATTTTGAGTAATTTAATGTATAATTAATAATGCACAATTAATAATAAATCTATAATATAATATCTTCAAAGCAATCGTTACATATCACAGTGGGAAAATATATAATTTCTTAATATAAAAAGTACAGTATATTCTTCATTTCCATTTTGCTAATTTTTTCACTGATCGATTACTAGACAAATTGCACCGATCTATCTTTTCTCACGACCCTTTGCTAATCGTTGATCGATTTGCATAACAGTTCGCACGCATATTTATCATGATCCTGGCGCATTTTTTTTTTATATCGACCTTTGGAAGGAGCTACCTCCCCCTCCCTTATCATAAATGCACAGGTTATTATTTCGCGCGTATAATATTGATGGCGCTATGAATGTTGCATGGAGGGGTACGCGGCGTCCTGAACGCGGCTCAACGGGGGTGGAAACCAGCTCGCGTATGGGGGTTGTAACGGGAGACGCCGCGGGACGCATGCGCTGCCACGGGAATAGTATTATTGATCTAAGAAGGGGATGGACTATGGGACCCTCGAAGACCAGCAGTGTGTCGAGGCGATCCCGGCACCCTCGGCCTGACAATATTTCAAGTTCGATAAGCGACCATGATCGCTTTAGCTTCAGTGTAATTCTTTTCTTTGCGATACTAATAGGTTACATTAATTTATATAAATTTAGAAATCAACGCCATTGTTTAAGCGTAAACGTCTGTTACAATGACATACGTTTAAACTTAAGAGTTACTTTTTTCACTATAATTAGCTATTTTCAGTTATCATTGTAAGATTCATAAAAACATTAATATTTAGTTAGGTAACTAATAGCTCATTTAATATCTAACATAATTTTATTTTCTAACTATACATGATTCTTAAAACAAATTTGAAAAACATGTGTATTTCAAATACAAATATTTTTACATTTTCGTTATAAAAATTAGCAGTCCTTTATTTATTATAATTTAATATTTAACTTTATATTCTCTCTAATTTTGTAAGCCTCATATCAAATTCTTATATTAATATTCACAAGCCACGTTCTTTTTAAAAAATAAAATTTTCTTTTCATAGTTAAAAAAAGAGAAAAATTTATTTATTTATTTTTTAATTTATATCTAATTTTCAATCTCGATTATGTGTCGAGCACCCTGGCAAGCGCCCGGTGTACACGTACCTAAAATCGACTATGTTCCCTGCATATGCATTCCCGTATGTAGCATTCGCACGAGTGTCTCTCTCCCTTTTCGAAAGCAAATCCTTATCCCGCGGTCCCTAGTCCCCCAGGCCACCATCCGAGGCACTCAAGAGTATTGCCGCTATTTTCCGTCTCGCGTATTACGCCGTGCTGCATTTTGCGAACCTCCTGGAATGTCATTTACACGCGACGTTCCCTTTGACGTGTATCAATATTTATTCTGGTTTCCCAGCCGCTCTCCGAGAATCTGCCGAAGTCGTTACATTTATAACGTTTGACTCCTCGTATTTCCAAGAACATAAAGGTACATACACCTACGGACTTAGATATAATATTATCCAAAACGTAAACGGTAATGGAAACATTATACTTCTTTCAGTGTGTAATTAACAGTTAGAAAATTTCACTATTTGGCTTAAGAAAATTGTATCAAATCATAAATAAAGAATGTGTTATATAGTCAACAAAATAAAAATTGTATTAATTGCATTACTTACGCGAAAATTATGCTAAATTATAAATAAAAAAATCTCATATACGGATCGCATATGGAGTAAATTACATCGGAAAAACCCATTTGAAGCTAGATGAATTCATTAATTATTTGCACGGGACATAGAAAGCGATGAAAAGGCTTCGCTTTGTCGAAACGAAGTTTCGTCCCTCTGGCATTGATCCCTGCGAAGTACAAAGCAACAACGCACGATACATTCGCACGTATTTGATTTGTATTCGACTGGAGGAAATGGCGCGGCCTCTCGCCTCTGATGTCTCTTGCTGACGCGCCCCGAAAAACCTTTTCTACTTTTCCGTCGTCGTTCCCGTTCGGTGGATCCCCTCGGCCCTCGGCCGACGCTGATCTGAATGCGTCCTACGTATTTGCCAACACCCCCGCTACGCTCTCTTTTCAGAGAAAACCGTCGACAAGCACTCACCGCCCCGCGCGCGACACGACTTCCATCCCTCTGCGAATAAAAAGTCACGCGTCCACGTAAGTCCGGCTCGCATTCGACAACGGAACCGCCGTCGTCGCACATAATTGTAAATTTCAGAGCATTTTTCATTAGAATGTTGATTTTTTTTTTCATGAAATAGAAACTAGATAGAAGAATAATAAATCGAATTCGTAGAACAGTGTTTTATTCGCGTATTAAATATTATATTATTATCATTATTATATTACATAATTCGTCATAGATAATTATAGATCCATAACTGTTTCGCTTCTTAGAATTCTGTCACGCCAATTGCACGTCGCGATTAATGCATTCCTCAAACGTAAGTCACGTTTCATTAAGTCGCGTTTCACTCTAGCGACTAGTAATTACCAATTGAACTTAAACGAGAGCGTCTTTTACCTCAGCGTATCTGGTCCCTTTGTCCGCGTATTCCCGCTCTGACAATGCTTTTAATTACCCGCCGCGGTTCGATGTATAGATCGAATTATAGACTGTGGTTCCCGTCGTATGAAACGGGCTCTACTCCGATTGATGTTGAGATAATTAGTGCACAATTAAAAAAGGAATAATTGCCAGATTCGACTGACCCCCCATAATCTTACAGTTTATATTTCATTGTTCTTATCTTATATACTCATTATGAGCAAAACTAAGAACTTATAAAATTACGAACATTTAATTATATACTAATAATCTCTCTCTCTCTCTCTCTCTCTCTCTCTCTCTCTCTCTCTCTCTCTCTCTCGCTTGCTCTCTCGTGTTTGTTTTTATTCGAAAATTTCCTATGTCTGAATCTTTTGCACTTCATATCGGAATTACACGCGACTTAATAATTCATATTTTTTAATTGCGTAATCGCGCTATCCGGCTGGAGTGTTGGTTTCTATGCTTTTCGCGGGGAATAAAGGAATCTGACATTCTCGCAGGCGTTCTCTTGGTTACGCTCGTACATCAACGTCACTTAAAGTCAGGAAAATTTCTCTTAACAATTTTTCTCGCCCCGGGCCCAAGCGCAAAAGAAATTGTCTGCAGGTACGTATCTTTCGGCGCAATAGCTGGATAAAATATGTCATATGACTTATATGGCATATACGAGCCAAAGTATCGCTACTGGTATTAGCTTGAGAAGACTGTTCAAATATTTTAAATAAAAAGTAAATATAGCAATACTTAAATTAGCCAATACTTGAATTTACTTTCTACGTGTTTATTATAGTTTATATCTCCATTTTGTACGTTATACGGGCAATTGATAATTGAACAACCGTTAAACTTTTATATTCTACAGTAGCAACTCTTTTTCGCGTTTGCGATGCCATTTTTTTTATCGTTTATAATATTTTAAATTAAAAATTAAAATATGATAGATTGGCCTTTGATATGGAGTACCATTAATAATTTCATGTTTTCTCATTTTAAAATGCTTTTCTTTAATTAAATAACGGTTTCAAATAGGGAGAGATACGTACCGACTTCTACTTTGATTGTTTTGTTTGCAGATAATTCCATATTTTTTGTATAATTATGAAAAATTTACATAATCAGAAATGTTAATTTCCGGCGATGAAAATCCTAAGACCACTATAATATTTTGAATTTACGCAGTTCGAAATTCGCAACTGCAGATAAAGCGATACGTTATGGCCGAGGTATTGATTTTCCGTATTTGTCAGAATACGCCGATGTAGCGCGTGCGGCGGAGAGCTGTCAAATTCGATTCGTGAGCATTCAGCGTACCCTCCTTTCCGATGCATTGCCAGTAGCATAGTCCTACTTGGAACAGCGCATTCATGCGACGGACGATGCAAAGAGGATGCGGCGTGGGCGGTTCGGCGCGGCGCGGCGGTCCGGCCACGTGCAATCTCCGAAAAGTGCAAGTATCGGGGAAGAGACTTATGAGGGTTACACGTGAATACGGACCATTATTCCGCGCGATAAAGCAATTTCCTCGCACTCCTCGGAATTATGTTTCTGCTATTTAGCATCGGTCCGGATATCGAGCGGGGGAGAAAGGAGAATGCGCGGGGAGCGGGGAGCCACGAAAATAGGATAGAGAGAGAGAGAAAAGAGGGATAGGATAGAGAAAACACGAGTAGGGAAAGCTCGAACGGACGGACGGACGGACGGATGGACGGAGAACCGCGGGAACGGGAGAGAAAGCGGAAATGGAAACTTCATCGATAAGATCGTTGTTGCTGTACGTACGAAACGATCCGTTATCGTCACCGATCGATCACCGCGCGCGCGAACCCGCTTTTTAGAGTCTACTTTAATCTCGCTCGCAGTTGAAACGACTATTCATTCTCAAAACTTTCGTTT